AGTATAATGATATTTTTTTTCACGTTTCAGTAGGCTATATTAAATTTCAGTATATCAAATTTAGATGGTGACAGATTTAACATCTCTCTTTTGAGCTCTTCATCTTCCTCCACCACTAGGAGATGAAACAAAACAATGTTAATTTGTGTATTAAGTAACTTACATTAAAATGTTTACATTAACAGCCAATGTAGCGGTGACTCTAGCTGATGTAGCAGGTGGTGGACCGGAGTCAGCCGTCTGCTGCCTGAGGATGTACTGAAGCAGGTTACGTCTTGATATTGATCCACTTTCCAGGAAGTTCCTGAACGCATCATTTTCACAGAGTTTCCGTAGTGGTTATCACGTTCGCCTAACACGCGAAAGGTCCCCGGTTCGAGACCGGGCGGAAACACTTTTCAGTAATCCAATATTTATATAATAATAATAATAATAATAATCCTTATTTGTAGAGCATTTTTCAAAAACAAGTTACAAAGTGCTTTAACAAGTGTAAAGAATAATACAAAAAAAAGATAAGAGCATGAAAATTTAATATAAAATTAGTAAAATACAATAAAATAAAAGGGATAAAATAAAGTCAAATAAGATCGGGAAAGGCTCTCCTATAAAAGTATGTTTTAAGAAGGGACTTAAAAGAGTTCACTGACTCAGCCGACCTGATTTCCTCGGGCAGGCTGTTCCAGAGCCTCGGGGCCCTGACAGCAAACGCTCTGTCCCCTTTAGTTTTCAGTCGAGACTCTGGAACAGACAACAGACCTCTGCCCGAGGATCTCAAGGTACGTGCTGGTGCGTATGGGACTAAAAGGTCAGAAATATAACAAGGCGAGAGGCCATGAAGAGCTTTAAAAGTGATCAATAGAATTTTAAAGTCAATTCTAAAACATACTGGGAGCCAGTGTAATGAAGCTAAAATAGGAGTAATGTGGTCATATTTCTTTGTTCTGGTTAAAAGCCTGGCAGCTGAGTTCTGGACAGTCTGGAGTCGATCAATAGATTTTTGGGTTAAACAGGTGAAAAGGCTGTTGCAATAATCCAGGCGTGATATAGATATGGTCATGTCCACTAATTCCACAGAGGAAATGCTGACACCCAGGGTAAAAACCAAGTCCAGTGTATGACCACGGTTATGGGTTTGACCTTTGACATGTTGTTTGAAGTTAAAAGAAGTGGCCATATTTAAAAAGTCAGTTGCATTAACATTGTTGGGGTCATCAACATGAATATTAAAATCGCCACATATATATAGATAGTTATATATATATATAACATCCACCATGTGTCATTTAAACGTAACCACATTAGTCTCAGAGTCAAGTCAAGACTGTAGGCCTATGTTCTGTGACAGATTCCCAGTAGTTATTATAATGGGTATAAATATCTACATTAGTGGTATAGGGATGATATCCTACAGGCCTAATATAGAAAATAATAATATGGTTCACAGCAGGATCGTAGTGGGAGAGAGTGACCTATGATGTGCAAAATCTACGCACACAGGACTTGATCAGATTAAGTTGGTAATTCTCCTTCAGGCAGGTCCATAAACAGACAGGAGAGGAAACAGCGCCACATGGTGGTGTAAAAATACACAGCTGGTGCAAGAAACCCCGCAGAATGAGTTTCAGTCATACAAGCTCCATGAATCTGCTTTTCCTCGAGGACACACTGTTGCACCTTCCTCGTTAGTATAGTGGACAGTATCTCCGCCTGTCACGCGGAAGACCGGGGTTCGATTCCCCGACGGGGAGAAACGTTTATTATTTAACAACTGGATGGAAGTCGAGCCTGAAGATCTGATTCTGACAACATTCAGACACAAAATGAAGATCTGCCACGAACCTGGTCACATTTACAGGAGAAGATGATTTGGATTAGTTGATATGATTAGACAATTTAAAACACAATATGAAGACTCATCATGTATATGGCCACTTATCTACAAGCCCACACTTCAAATATTCTGCTGCATTAACTTTGTTTTGTCTTTAGATTATCGTCAGTACTTTTCTTATTGTGTCTCCTGAGAATTCACTTTTTCCATAGGACATTGTTTCTGATCAGAACAGGGATCTTTAACTAGCCTACTTTTGTTCAAGGGCCAGAATTTCTCTAAGCAGACACCGTGAGGGACGGACTTTAAATTATCTTAGGATAAATTACCATATCAGTGTTTAAAATTTTTATTTTCACAAATTACTTTTGTTCCGTGAACAGACTCTTGAAAATATGGTAAATCCATAATGGTAACTGGCCAACTTGAACAGAAAAATCTGTAACTGCTGACTGCATTTCTGATTATGTTGATCAACTTTGTTTAATACCTTAATACTTTATATACCTTTAAGGCCCGATAGGCTAGTCTATGGTTTTGACGCAATTATACATCTGAGACCTTATTGTTGACGTGACACCTGTAGTTACCGGTTGTAACAGCAAATGCAGGTTAAGCCTGTAGGTCACAGAAGTCCGGGGCAGCTAAACAAAGTATTGTCAGGTAGTAATTGATATTTTTCCATAATTATGTGAGCAGCCATGATCTGACTTCATGCTGCACAAGAGTTAGATACCTGGCCGAGAAGGTGGAGGTGTGCAGCCTGTTTTAATCCCTCCCACCCGAGATGCCAGCTCGAGGAGTCCAGGAAACACTCATTTAATGAAGCCATTATTTTAAAGCGACGTCCATTAAATCTGACATGTTGCACAGCTGCATCATCTGTACGCTGTTAGAGCTGTGATCTCTGTCAGAGCAGCAGAGCAGCTGTCGCCACTAAAGGCTACAGATCATTTCTTCACAATCCAGAAACATGTCTGTTAACATTATAACACACCTATACACATCTGGAGGTTCCAATAAACATTATAGCATCTGTTGAAAACAGTCAGATTACAGCAGCCTGATCATTCACCAGGCTACACAGCAGATTAGACCTACCACTTTTTTGCGGAGCGCTTCTTGTCTGTAAACAGGAGATCATTTAGCTCTGGATGATATTACAGCCTAATAATTTGACTTCAGCAGCTGTTTGTCACGATTATAGCAGCTGAATTGGTGCGATGCGCGGATCGGCTCGGACATTAAGCCTATGGGCATAAATCCTCCACCCGCCCCCCACCAACTAATTTTTATCAGATTTAGAGACCTCCACCGGTCGCTGTAGATCCAGGCGGTTTCTTTCTTGTGTGTTATATTGATGTATGAATGTTTAACGATTCACTTAGATGATTAGAAAGGCGGCTGTCAGTCATTTAAACGTTTCCATCCGTGCAGTAATGTCACAGCAAATATCGTGGGACAAAACAGAAAAACCTTGCAGTAATAAACTTGACAGGACAGAGAGAGGAAACAGAATGAAACTTTCAGCTTCTATAATCCACGTTTAGACTCTGATGAAGCTCAGGACTGATCAGGAGGATGGCTGCTTTACTCCAAACACTTTTACTGTAGGAACCTGGACTCTGTGTGAGACCTTTTGGATGTGAAGAAGAACACAGAACATGAATTAACACCAGATCCTGACCGAACCGACCCTGTCGGCGTGTCGGAGATTTATTATTATTAATTTGTGTTGCTGTGGCTCGTGCGTAAATGCGCACAGTGTCACTGGGGAGAAGCTTCATCCAGGAGCTATTTACTGTTCATTTTTACAATCCTGCATCACATTCAACAACTTGACGTCAAAGTGAAACGACATTAAGAAATGCGGTTAGAACAGCGCTTTATGAGGCGCTACACAATATAATTAATAGGCAACAACAGGAACCCTGCAGCGTCCTGCTCCGGTCCAGCTGCTGGTCACGCCTCTTGTAAATATCACAGCGGCTGAAAAGACTTCCGCAAAGGATACAGCGATGTATCCTCGCTTATAGCTTCTCCAGCAAGCCTCGATGTGCATTTTAAGAATTGAGATGTCCTTCAAGATGGCGTGCTGATATCGAAGTTTGGAAAATGAGAAAAGGCCCCCTGAACGACAGCGATCAGTGCTACATTGTAGGCCCATCAGCTTTAATGCCAGGAATTAGATTCTGGATTGTACATTGCTCATAATGTGCTTACTCAGACAATAATAATCCTGTGACTAGTCCAAACTGAAAGCCTACTCCTGTTTTGCTAGTTTAATATTCTTGTGAATGTGAAGCTGTTTTAATATTACTAAGCTAAATATAACTGCTACACTTGACTAACTAACTAAGTGAATGTAGCAAGTGTTACTAAAATGAAATAGTTCAATATCACCTTTAATGAGAGATAGAGACACATAGTACATAAGCAGCAGCAGAGGAAGGAGCTCTTGAGCTTTAGTGAGGTGGCTCTTAAAAGAGCCGTTGTGGTGTAAAGAGGTGTGGGGGGAGTTTAAGCCCTCTCTCCGCGGATGCGTCGGGCCAGCTGGATGTCTTTGGGCATGATGGTGACCCTCTTGGCGTGGATGGCGCACAGGTTGGTGTCCTCGAAGAGGCCGACCAGGTAAGCCTCGCTGGCCTCCTGCAGAGCCATGACGGCGGAGCTCTGGAAGCGCAGGTCGGTCTTGAAGTCCTGAGCGATCTCCCTCACCAGGCGCTGGAAGGGCAGCTTGCGGATCAGCAGCTCGGTGGACTTCTGGTAGCGGCGGATCTCTCGGAGAGCCACGGTACCGGGCCTGTAGCGGTGGGGCTTCTTCACTCCGCCGGTGGCCGGGGCGCTCTTACGGGCAGCCTTGGTGGCCAGCTGCTTCCTGGGAGCTTTTCCTCCGGTGGATTTACGGGCGGTCTGCTTGGTTCTGGCCATCGCGTCTCGTTTCTCTCAACAGGAGAAAAGTGTAGTGAAGAGAGGAGCCGCGCTGCTCTTAAACTGCGGGACCGGCTGCGAAGCGGTGACGCTGCTTCAGACCTCCGGCTCCTGATTGGTGAGGGGCCCCTGCTGGAGCTCAGCACCGCCTAGAGGCCTGAATCTCCGCCGCTTATTGGCGGAAAATCCCTTCAAACTTTCCGCCTAAACGCAGAGCGGGCCGCCCTCTGCTGCTCTGCAGGAAGCCTCTTTCCTGGTTGGTCTGGAAGAAACCGTCCCGCGCGCTGCGCGGACATATAAAGGAGGGTTTTGGCTGCCGGGGCCACATTTTCTTTGAGTCTTTACTCTAGAAAGATCACACGATGTCTGGAAGAGGTAAAACCGGAGGCAAAGCCAGAGCAAAGGCAAAGACTCGCTCCTCCCGCGCCGGGCTGCAGTTCCCCGTCGGCCGTGTCCACAGGCTGCTGCGGAAAGGAAACTACGCGGAGCGCGTCGGTGCCGGAGCCCCCGTGTACCTGGCGGCGGTGCTGGAGTACCTGACCGCTGAGATCCTGGAGCTGGCCGGAAACGCCGCCCGCGACAACAAGAAGACCAGGATCATCCCCCGTCACCTGCAGCTGGCCGTCCGCAACGACGAGGAGCTCAACAAGCTGCTGGGCGGAGTCACCATCGCTCAGGGCGGCGTGCTGCCCAACATCCAGGCGGTCCTGCTGCCCAAGAAGACCGAGAAGCCCGCCAAGAAGTAAACAACAACAACCACAAACGACACAACGGCTCTTTTAAGAGCCACACATCTCAAACTGAAGACACACTTCCTGCTGTAATTTATAATTTGACTAAAGCGTTTCTGTAGCAGGACTTCTCCTCCAAAGATTCCCTTAATAATCTCATTCCTTAACTCTAAAAAGAACACAAATGTGAATTGGGATAAATAACATGACCCCAATATTTATACTAAAAGACTTAACCTTTAGTTGCTCCAGAGGCCTGCAGCCTCTGAAATACAGCAATCGTAAGTGGCTTTAGATAAAAGCCTCAGCAAAATGAATAAATGTATGGAAAGATCAAATCTCTGGGCTTTATGATTTACAGCCATGTTGTCACATTGACAAAAAATCTTGTAATATTGTATTTACATGGTTGAATGTGTTTCCTGTAATTCACTTTGGCCAAAAGCATCAATTCACTAATGTAGTCCAAACTAAAAGCAATGAATACAATCCAATATTTATCTAATATGATGGAGATTAATTACACTAAGGTTCTTTTTCAGTAACAGCATTATTTAAAATATTATTATATATTAGATTTCTTAAAATGTAAAGTAAAAAATGTAATTCAATATTTATACATACAAATAAAAACAAACCATTACACTTGTTTAGTTGTATGAATCACACTATCAAGTTGTTCACGCTCAGTCAGATACTCCAGTAGTATCCTACAGGCATGTTTCTAGTATTAAGCTGGTTCAGTCGTTCCTTTAAGGTTCAGTGTGTTCATGTGCTCTAAAGTCAAAATGTGGCGTCAACATGGATGCTACTACAAAGATGTGCTGGATTATCATTATCAGAACATTTACAACGCACATAGTTAGTTAGACAGCAAACTAACCTTTAGAACCACATTACAAATTACATGTTTGCAAAATCTATATGCAATATGTGACTTATCAGGAATCAGTGCTTCTTTATTCTCATGTACAGTTTATTTCTCTTTTTGCAATAAATAATAAAAAGTTACTGATCACATGAATACACAACCTTCTCTTTCCTTCGCGCAAGAGCAGCTTTAGTGGCCGACACGATCTGTCGGCTTTTGTGATATATAATATGTGTGGGCCTTCATTTGCCCAAATTTCTCTTCTATCCTTAATAAACCAGTCAGCTTCTACTGCTCACCTTACTTCTTCTTCTTCACTCAATCAAAATCATATATGTAATATGATATTAATGTGTTGTGGACATTTGTCTCCGTTTGTGTATTGATTATTCAAAATTAACCTAGAGTGAAACAATTTCATCAGTCAGTTTACAGCCTTTCGCCAGATGTCAGCTGGGAAAACAGGTAGAACAACATGAAAATAATTCAACGAGATAATCAAAAGGAATCATTTTTGTCTTTAAGATGGCTGCTAAAGATGTAGGAGGAGCCGCTGAGTTTGGAACTCGCGCCTTCTGTCCTCTTTTACGTCCGCAGATAAGATGTAAAAAGCGCGTGTCGACCCTCAAATTCATCAGTTTGTTCAACGAGTAAAGCTGAAAGATGAGCGGAAGAGGCAAAGGAGGAAAGGGACTCGGTAAAGGAGGCGCTAAGCGTCACCGTAAAGTGCTCCGTGATAACATCCAGGGAATCACCAAACCCGCCATCCGCCGTCTGGCTCGCCGCGGCGGAGTGAAGCGGATCTCCGGTCTGATCTACGAGGAGACCCGCGGGGTGCTCAAGGTCTTCCTGGAGAACGTCATCCGCGACGCCGTCACCTACACCGAGCACGCCAAGAGGAAGACCGTCACCGCCATGGACGTGGTGTACGCTCTGAAGAGGCAGGGCCGCACCCTGTACGGCTTCGGAGGCTAGACCCGGTCCAGACCCACTGAAACACAAAGGCCCTTTTAAGGGCCGCACACTTCATTTAAAGAGTTGACTTCTTAATTTATAAACTGCTACACTGAATACAGAAAATTCCACAAACTGGGGATTCACAGTGCTAATGATTTAAGAAAATTCTAAACTATTATTGCAAAGGGTTGAGGAAACTTAATTACAAATGAGGCTATAAAAAAAGCAAAATGAGTTCCCATAACATACAAAGAACCAACTACAATATCACATTTACATACAGGCTAAAATGCCAAGTCTAACATACTAGAGAAGAACTGGGCTGAAGTATTTCAGTGTTAAAATCAAACTGTTTGCAGAGTCTGGTGACCTACATCTGTGCGTGAGACAGCAGGAGGCTAGACCCGATCCAGACCCACTAAAACTCAAAGGCCCTTTTAAGGGCCACACACTTCCTCTAAAAAGTTAACGCTCCTTTATTAACTTTAATGTCAAATACTTGGACGTTTAATCCTGTGATGTTCTGTACATCATTCTTTTATCCAAAGCTGATAGTTACTATATCAACAAGAAGAAGTGGCTTGACACCATGAACGTGACACAAACTCATGCCTCAGTCCACTCCTTGTGAAGCTCTTCAAAAGCTTAACTTAACAACTCTCTCAATGCTGTGCTCATCCCTGTTGCTTGTGATCCTCTTCCCACACCAACTTTCCATGATACAGTGAACAGCCTTCTCAGCAGTGACCTGGACACCAGATTAAGAGATTAAAGGCTCTTGTGTCTGTATTATACATTCTTTATTCTAATATTGTAGGTATGGATTTTTAAATTTCCATCAGCTGTAAGCCAAAAAAACAAAAGGCCTGAAATATTTCACTTGATGTGAAATTTACCTAGAACATTTGAGAGTTTCTTTGAATTCCCTTATATAAATTATGGAAATAATTATTATGGTATTACATCAATTTCACAGAAATCTACATCCATCTATTACAGATCTGTCACGAAATGTTATTGCTACTATAGCGAGTGTTGTTTTTAAGCTTACGCTACAGTAATGTAAATGTGAATGAACATTTTGTAATGTTACTTGATTTCATGTGGAAGTGGTTGACAGACAAACACGGCTTCTCAGCATGTAACGTCATTTGCCTGATGAAGGTCTAGTACCAAAATGTTGCCAGCACAAACATTTATTTTTGCAGGTTAGACAATGTGCAGTAGTTTCTTTGCAACTTTTCACCTACTCCTCCCCCTCTGATGCACCTGCCTCATGTTAGATGTGTGAGGTAATTTTCTATTCTTGTCCAATAAAGATGAAATTTGAAAAAGTTTCCGATTTATGTATGTGTATATTTATGTGTCACAATCAGTAGTTGGAGGACAGTAAAACTGCACTATAAATATTTGAGTACATTTTACATTATTAGCTGTATATTTTATACTTTGTTTGGTAAATATGCATATTTCAGACTCTCACTGACAGTTTTCCTTTATTAGCAGAACCAGCACAGCTGAACATGATACAAACTTCATTTCTCACTGTACATTGTATTGCTCACAATATCAAGGTTTGACCCACAATTTTATACCATCAAATGCTCGACTACAGATAAACGTACAAGGTTAATGCGCAGCAGGTTATTTGAGGTACGCAACAAATATTAAGCTTTTAAAACATTTATGGCTGTATCAAATATGGGAAAAAGATCCAGGTAAATAAAAGATGTTGATCTGTTTTTGATACTGAAAGAAGTTGTCCTTGAAATCTCTAATATAATAATATAGCACCATGTCATGGCCAATAGACCATCATTATATTCTAATTCATTGTGTTTGTGCAGCCTAATAAAAACCAAATACAGGTTTTATACAAGGTCCTACATTAACAGTGTTTCTGAGTTCATCCACTAAATGGCACCATTGTTTAATGATAGTTGTTACAAGTCATGTTGCAAAGTGGAACGGAGTGTTTGAAGAGGTAGAGATCCAAGGTGTCAATATCACAACGTATAAATACTTCATCACACGTAAAATCCAGTACTTAAGTAAAATTACATGTCCAGCTTACTAAAATTACTAAATTAAAAGTAGCCTACTGACCTCGCAAAATTTGTACATTTCCTTTAGTACTTTAATCCATTAAACAGAAAGTGAAGGCAATGTAGTTAAAGATTAGGCTAATTAACATAGCCTGGATAATTATTTTTGTGGAAATCAGTTAGAGGCAGTACAATCCAACTACAGTAAAACTGCCTTTGATATGTGGCTCATGTGAGATTTATCACTCAAAGTTTGGATACTTTTATCCAGAAATGAAGGTTTATTAATTAGTTAACGTGTGAAGTCATAAGAACAACACCGCAATTTAAACAAATGTATAATCAATATATAGGGAACATAGTACATTTAGCTGGCGCTTTTTATCCAAAGCGACTTACAATTGCTACATATGTCAGAGGACGCACTCCTCTAGAACAATTACGGGTTAAGTGTTTTGCTCAGGGACTCATTGGTTGATGTGTCACAGTGGGGAATTGAACCCTGGTCTGATTTAAATTCCACTGAACATACAGGGTGAAACGGATCAAACCACTTTAGTACAAATTAAAATAAATGATGGTATTAAAACTATAATTTTAATACGGAAGTACTCAATACAGCCAACAATCAGCTATTATAATTGTGCACATAGAGTTCCTTCTAAATTGGATGTTAACAAACTGTCCTTGGTGTCTTATCATGGAACAAAAATGTTTGAATGTTTGATAAAAGAGAAAGGTCACTTGCTGCCACACATCAAATACCTGTTTGAGAAATTACCTGTATGTAAAAAAAAAAAACCTGACTGCAGTTTGATAAATAAATTTAAATAAATAAAGCTTTGATGGTGATGACAGTTCTGTTTAGTTCACTAGAGTAGATTTATTAGGCATTTAACTCCCAATATAAAAGTTGATGTAGAGTATTATACCATCTGATACTAATAACACATGGATGTATAATATGGTATAAGTATAGTTGTGTTGTCTAATTGCAGCTCAGAGTGGGTTTGTTGTGTAACAAGGTGTTGAAGTTGTACTAATAAATGAGGAAGCCTCTTTAGTGAAGCTGTGGTGGTTCTTAAAAGAACCTTTGGTGCACTGAGTGCTGGATTAAAGAGCCGCTTCACTTCTTGGTCTTCTTGGCTGCAGTTTTCTTTACCGGAGCTTTCTTGGCAGCGGGCTTCTTGGCCGCCTTGAGCTTTTTAACGGGGGTCTTCTTGGGACTCTTCTTCGCTAGCGGCTTTTTCACGGCTTTCTTCGCCGGTGCCTTCTTCTTCGGGGACTTCTTGGCCGCTGCTGCCGCTGCCGGTTTCTTGGCCGCTGGCTTCTTAGCTGCCG